TGCATCTCCAACTTGCTACTCACCTGCTGCTTCGCGTCGGGGGTGGTCATCCCGGTCCGCGCCCCCGCTGGCACTATTCTCGCCGTCCCTCTCTCCCACGTCCGCGCAACCTCACACCACCCGCCCCCTCCGCCGCCGCAGCTGTGCGACAGCACTATGTACGGAGGCATGTGCTACAATCTCGTCGGCTACAAGACCTCGCGCAGCGCCACCACCTTTGTCGTCGTCCTCACCGCGGTCATGCTCGCCATCTCGCTAGCCGTCATCCTCGTATCGGCGGTCAGCGCCACGAGGGCGAAGACCATGCGGCTCGCCTCGTCGAAACGCGAGCCGATGCGCGACGGCATCACCCTCGCCGACGGCCAGCAGTGGCACCTCTTCCTCAGCCATGTCTGGAGCACGGGGCAGGTTTGGCACTCCCTTGCCCCGCCAGTTTTCGTGTGTGGAGAAGACCTGACCTGGCCTTCCTCCCTTGTAGGACGCCGTCGCCGTAATCAAGAATGAGCTTCTGCAGTTCCTGCCCGGCTGCGAGATCTTCCTCGATGTCGACGACCTCAAAAACATCGGAGAGCTGGAGGCGTACATTGGTCGCTCGCAGGTGGTGCTCTGCTTCCTCTCGCGGGGCTACCTACGCTCGACAAACTGCCTGCGAGAGATCCGCGCCGCGCTGGAGATGGGCAAGCCGCTCGTGCTCGTCCACGAGGCAGACCCGGACAAGGGCGGAGGCACGCTCGCCGAGCTGCGATCCGAGTGCCCCGAGGAGCTGCGGGCCGCCATCTTTGACGCCGGCTGGCCGATGGTGGTGTGGCATCGAATCGAGGCCTTCCAGCACGTCTCGCTCAAGGTCATCGCCGAGGCGCTGCTGCTGAAGACGCCAAAGTACGAGGGCGAAAAGGAGCTGCCAATGTGCGTCCCGGGCGAGCTTCGAGCCGACGACCTCGCCTTCCCCAAGCCGGTGGTTCTCTGGGCCTCGACTTTGAACGCCGGGGCGCGAGTGCTTGCCAATGCAGTCGCGGTGGCCGTGGCTGGCAGCATCTCTGTCACCGACGCCATTCCCTCGCTCCTCTCCTCGCTGCCTCGCGCGAGCGACAGCGGCGGCGACGAGGCGACCCACATGCTGCTCTACCTGAACAAGGCGACGTGGGCCGGCGAGGGCGCCGAGGCGCTCGCAGAGCAGGTGCGCGCCGCGCG